CCAAAGACCCGCCCGAAGCCCCGTCCTGAAGCCCCGCCCCGCCCTGAAGGCCCGCCCTTAAAGCCTCGCCCAAAGCCCCGCCCCTGAAGCCCCATCCCGCCCCTGAAGCCCCGCCCCGAAGCCCCACCCCCGCCCCGCCCCTGGGGCTTGGGGGGCGGGGCTTGGGGACGGACCCCGTTGGAGCGCGAGGTCACACCTACAGGGAATGCTTCAAGTAGAAATAGTATTGCACGTTCTCCGGGGCCTCCTTGCCTACCGCCCAGCTGCAGCTGAGCTGATCCACGTCGTGCACCCGGCAGGTCAGGTTGTCCGCGGCCGCCCAGGGGTTGCCTTGGGGTTTGCAAAGAAGAGGGAGGAGGGGGGAAAGTGAGCTCCTCGATCAACACCAGGATCCGACTGTGTAGACCACGGGGAAATGAATCCGCTCCTCTGGGGAAAACCGTCATGCAAAAGAATATACGTATATACTACGGAGTCACTGTGCTATACAGTGACTTGGAGGGCGAGGAGAGCTATATATTAACTTGGAGGGCGAGGAGAGCTAACCGGTCAATCCTCAAGGATTCAATGGACACGAATTTGAACATCAGTTCAGTGCAGTTCAGTCGCTCAGTCGTGTCTGACTCCTTGCGACCCCGTGGACTGCAGCCCTCCAGGTCTCCCTGTCCATCACCAACTCCAGGAGCTTACTCAAACCCATGTCCATCGAGTTGGTGATGCCATCCAACCATCTCATCCTCTGTCCCCTTCTCCTCCTGCCCTCAATCTTTCCCAGCATCAGGGTCTTTTCCAGTGAGTCAGCTCTTCACATCAGGTGGTCAAAGGATTCGAGTTTCTGCTTCAGCATCAGTCCTTCCAATGAACATTCAGGACTGATGTCCTATAGGATGGACTGGTTGGATCTCCTTGCAGTCCAAGGGACTCTCAAGAAATGGCCTTTTCCCTACAAAGCTACGTCACTACAGACCCATCCATCCAAGTTAAAAGTCATTATCTTGCTATTCAGAATGCTAACGGGTGATCAAAAGCAAACGAAACCCCAAGAGAGTGTCTACCCCTCACCTTGCTTTGGATACTGAATCCAAGCAGAGAATGGTTGACCATTCATAACCTTCACAGTGTAGTTTTTTACTTCACATGACAAGTCACCGAGACTGCAATAGAGCTTCCCGTTTGCCTGAGAGAGATGAAGCCATTTATTCACAGTAAAATCAAGCCCCCTGGAGATCCAACCAGTCCATCCTAAAGGACAGCAGTCCTGAATATTCATTGGAAGGACTGAGGCTGAAGCTCCAATCCTTTGGCCACCTGATGCGAAGAGCCGACTCATTGGAAAAGACCCTGATGCTGGGAAAGATTGCGGGCGGGAGGAGAAGGGGGCGACAGAGGGTGAGATGGTCGGATGGCATCACCGACTCGATGGACATGAGTTTGAGCAAACCCCGGGAGTTGGTGATGGACAGGAAAGCCTGGCGTGCTGTGGTTCATGGGGTCGCAAAGAGTCAGACATGACTGAGCAACTGAAAAACACCACTTTCAACTGGGTTTGTCTGTCCAGCTGCAGTATCTCAGCCCCTTTTCACACCAATCCTGTCCAGGAGGTGCCACTGTGGATGTCTTGAGCCTTGGTGTCCATAAATGACCCCTGGGTCCAGGGGTGGAACCCATGTCTCTGTGAGGCTAAGTCCAGGGAAGATGGCTTACCTTTGCTAAAAGTTTTGAATTGACGTAACACCCAATTTCGGAAACATTCCCATGCTGGTCCCAGACCAATCTTTTCCTTTGTGGATCTATCCTTAAGTTCGTAATCGGTGGGTCTGGATCAGAGATGGCTACACAGTGGGAGAGAGAGACAGAACGCTTAAATTGTCTCTGCGGAGTCAGCCTTTGGGAAGCTGAGTTCTAGGTGGAGATGTGGTTGCCAGGAGCAACCACAAATCTATACAAATTTAAAATCAAGAATTTGTAGCATCTTAGTTATCCCACCTTCTCACCAACGACGGTGGGGGGTGGGCAGTGGGGAACTTCAGGAAAGCAGGTCACCTCTCCCATCCTTGTTAGGAAATGTACCTTTCTCAGCCACACACGTCGAAAAAAGTTGTGTTCGTGTGGCTGATTCACTTAGCTCTATGGCAGAAAGCAACACAGCGTGCGTGCATGCTAAGCCGCTTCGGTCGTGTCCGAATCTCTGCGACCCCGTGGACTGCAGCCCGCCAGGCTCCTCTGTCCATGGGCTTCTCCAGGCCAGAGTACTAGAGTGGGTTGCCACGCCCTCCTACAGGGCATCTTCCCACCCCAGGGATGGGACCCACGTCTCTTACATCTCCAGCGTTGGCAGGAGGATTCTTTATGGCTGGGCCACCTGCAAAGCCCAACCGTCTTGAAAGAAGGCAAGCAAAGCAGACCTTCCCCAACCCAGCCTTTACAGGATGGCACCTGATAAAATGTTACTAGACGCTCAGAGAGGCAGTCATGTGTCGGCCGTGAGCAGAAGCATCAGGGCTTAGAAATTGTCCCGTTGGGACCTCCCTGGAGGTCCACTGGTTAAGGTTCCGCCTTCCGGTGGAGGGGATGTGAGTTCTATCCCTGGTCAGGGAACTGAGATCTCAAATGCTTCGGGGCCTCTGGGCCCACACGGCATAAGTGTGGGGAAACCGAACTGCCACGACTAAGACCCAAATAAATATTCGAGAATGAAGTTGCGCCATAAATGGCAGACGGCGAAAGTAAGAGAGAAGTCTGTTAAAACAGCCGTTCAGTTCCGTTCAGTCACTCAGTCGTGCCCGACTCTTTGTGACCCCACGGACTGCAGTGCCAGGCTCCTCTGTCCATGGGATTCTCCAGGCAAGAAGACTGGAGCAGGTAGCTAGTTCCTTCTCCAGGGGATCTTCCCGACCCAGGGATCAAACCTGGGTCTCCTGCATTGCAGGAGGATTCTTTACTGTCTGAGCCACAGGGAAGCCCAAAATAAATAATAATAATTAATGAATAATAATGAAAGTAAACTAGAGACCCTCTAGTCAAAGCTATAATGTTTCCAGGAGTCATGCATGGATGTGAGAGTTGGACTATAAAGAAAGCTGAGCGCTGAAGAATTGATGTGTTTGAACTGTGGTGTTGGAGAAGACTCTTGAGAGTCCCTTGGGCTGCAGGGAGATCCAACCAGTCCATCCTAAAGAAGATCAGTCCTGGGTGTTCATTGGAAGAACTGATGCTGAAGCTGAAGCTCCAATCCTTTGGCCACCTCATGCCAAGAACTGACTCATTTGAAAAGACCCTGATGCGGGGAAAGATTGAAGGCGGGAGGAGGAGGGGATGACAGAAGATGAGATGGTTGGATGGCATCACCAACTCGGTGGACATGAGTTTTAGCAAGCTCCCGGAGATGGTGATGGACAGGGAAGCCTGGCGTGCTGCAGTCCACGGGGTCGCAAAGAGTCAGACAGGACTGAGAAACTGGGCTGAACTGAAACTAGAGACCGATATGCCTTATCACATAGATACAAAATTCCTTTACAAAATGTGAGTACATAAAATAGGGCAACATATAAACCTGGTAAGACCTCTTGACCCAAGACACTTACTCTAAGAATGCAAGTTTATTTTAACCATCCCTATAATTCACCCTTTCTAACAGAAAAGTGACCATCTCCTTGTCAGGAGCAGGAAATATTTTGACTTTTTTTTTCATCTATTGTTTCTCCTCTGGCCACACCACATGGCATGCAGAACGTTCGGACCCAGAGCAGGGATCAAACCCGTGTCCCTTACACTGGAACCACGGAGTCTTCATCAGTGGACCCCCAGGGAAGCCCCAACTTTTATTTTGCTTTTCTGAATATTTCAACAGCATTTTAACACCCGTGAAGATTAAAAGCTCTCAGCAAACTAGAAATGGAAGAACACGTCCTTCCCCTAGATAAAGCTATGAAAAATCCATGTGCTAATTAAGACTCGGTGGTGACAGACGAACCACTTCTCCGTATGACTCAACACGAACATGTGTGCGGTCTCAGGGCTGCCTTCTCTTCCTCTGACTCCTGTACCCACAGCCCCTCTAATGCAGTTCCACCAAGGTTGTATTTTTAGCAGGGCCTGAAGGGTGGGTCGTTATAATGTTGCAGCCTGCAGCCCACTTCCTTCACTGTCTCCTGGAGAGGAGGTCACTTCCTGTCTGTGGCCAGTGACCCCTCCTCACCCACGGGCCTGATGTGATCCCAGAGGTGGCGGCAGCCTCGCGCCCCAGAGCAGTGGGGGCAGACCAGAGGCAGGACGTGCTGGGGGCAGCATCCCGAGATGTGAAGGAAGCCCGCTCCCTTCTAGAGCTGCTGCGTCTCCCAGCCCCTCGGGTCACCGGCTGCAGTCTTGGGACTGATTTCAGCACGAAGAGACGGACAGAAGCAACCTGTGGTCCCTGCAGTTGCGGCCCCTGTAAAACCTCCCTGGGAGGCCTCTACACACTCCTCCTCCGAGGTGATGCAGCCAGCTGGGGTGGAATGAATGCTGGTCTCTCTCCATCCTCCCCCACAAACCATACTGAAGGCCTAACTTGCAGGACCTGAGAATCAGCCTTCTCTGGGAATAGGGTCTCTGCAGCTGTGATGGAGTGAAGGGTCTGAGATGAGCTTCCTCCTGGATGGGGGTGGCCCTAAACCCCATGACTGGTCCTTGTAAGACACGGCAGAGTGGAGACACGGACACAGAGGAGAAGCCTCATGGAGACAGAGGCAGAGACGGCAGGGAGGCGGCCACTGGCCCAGGGATGGACGCCCGGAGCCCCCATAAAGCTGGAAGAAGTGGGAAGGACCCTCCCCTGGAGCCTCTGCAGGGAGCTCAGCCCTGGGACACCCTGACCTCAGACGTCTGGTCTCCAGGGCTATGATAAATAAATCTGCCACTTAATCCTCCAGACTATGGTATTTTATTAAGGCAACACAAAGCTGCATAAGTCAGTAGCCCCTAGGGAGACACAGGCCCCCAACACACACACACACACATACACGTACACACACACGCATATATGTATACATACACGTATACACACACACACGTACACACATGTATACAGACACATGCACACACATGCATATACAGCACACGCATGCACACACACACACCTATATGCCTGCCTGCACGCACACACACACGGACACCTTAGCACACACACATCCATACATGCACGTGCCCACAGAGACACACACTACACACATGCAGACACACACACACACATACACACATCCATATATACAGGCACACACATACACACATGTGTACACACAACTTACACATATATGTATGGATGCATGTATATGAATGTACACATATGGACACACAGAGACATACACACAGATACATACAGACAACAAACACACACACATCCATATATACACACATGTATACACGCAACATGCACACACATGTATGGGTGTGTGTTCATGTATGTACACACATATGCACACACGGGGAGAGACACACACACACATGTACACAGCCACACACACCACCTCCATTCCACGACCATTTGCAGAAGGAACAAACCTCTCCCGGTTATGCAACGTCGTGGCTGTCACCACAGGCAGGTCACCCTGTCTGGCGCAATCACAGAGCATCTGTGCTGAGCAGCTGGCCTGGCTCTGCTCCCGTCTGTCGCCCAAAGCCTGGTCCCCATCCGCATGCGGTGAGGGTCGGACAGGAGGCCGAGGTGGACGTGGCCCCCTCGGCCCCTGTGTGGGGTCTGCTGATCAGCCAGGGAAGTCTGCACGGGATGGGCTTCCACTGCAGACCCTCCCCAGGGCACACGCCTGCCTGGTGGGCACCGTGTCTGCTTGAATCCCACCAGCATCCCCGGGCTTGCAGCCAAAGCAACGAACAATCTCTGTACCTGGGGCAGCTGAAGGCGTGGGTGTCCCCCTGGGGGACCTCTCCTGCAGCAGCTGGCTAGCCCCCCAACCCCCACTGTGAACGGTCTCCGTCAGCCACAACTGCCACCCAAACTCAGCCAGATGGTCAGAGACGGGTGCGTGGTGTGACAATCTCCATCACCCGTTCTCACATCTTGATCGACTGTTACCCCCAAGGAGTCTCACGATGGTTTCGTGAACCCCTCACTAACCACCATCTTCAGTGACGATCCTGGGAACCTGAGACCCTGGTCTGGCCCCCACCTCCCTTAAATCTCCATGAGGAATGTCAAAAGAACAGGATGGGGTTGCCCCCAAAGCATCATTTTTTTTTTCATTCTCTTTGTTCATGTGGATCAGTTTTTAGGTCTTTATTGAATTTGTTACAATATTGCTTCCATTATATGTTTTGGATTTTGGGCCTTGTGGCCAAAAATCCTACCTCCCCGACCATGGATCAAACCTGCGTCCTCTTCATCAGAAGGCAAAGTCTTAACCACTGGATGGCCAGGGAAGTCCCAAACTCTGTCCTTTAATCCATGCCCTAGAGCCTGTGATCCACAAGAACAGAAGCCACTGCAATGAGAAGTCTGCACACTGCAACTAGAGAGAAGACCCCTGCTCGCCGAAGTTAGAGAAAAGCCCATGTGCTGAAACAAACAGCCAGCACAGTCAAATGATAATAATAATAATAATAATAATAATAATAATATAGAGCATGTGTAAAGACTATTTCCAAACAACTCCCCTCTGGGGTTCTGTTGGTTAAGACTTGAGGACATGCATTTGCTGAGGACAGAGTTCAGCCCGTCTCCTTCATTTTCCCACGGACGTCTCCCAATCCAGGAAAAGGATGACAGGAGATCGAAGATAAGAGATTGATCCTGGCGCCCCAGCTACGCCAGGCGCTCTGGCTGTAGCCTCGTGACCTGGGTCGGACAGGAGGCCGAGGTGGACGTGGCCCCCTCGGCCCCTGTGTGGGGTCTGCTGATCAGCCAGGGAAGTCTGCACGGGATGGGCTTCCACTGCAGACCCTCCCCAGGGCACACGCCTGCCTGGTGGGCACCGTGTCTGCTTGAATCCCACCAGCATCCCCGGGCTTGCAGCCAAAGCAACGAACAATCTCTGTACCTGGGGCAGCTGAAGGCGTGGGTGTCCCCCTGGGGGACCTCTCCTGCAGCAGCTGGCTAGCCCCCCAACCCCCACTGTGAACGGTCTCCGTCAGCCACAACTGCCACCCAAACTCAGCCAGATGGTCAGAGACGGGTGCGTGGTGTGACAATCTCCATCACCCGTTCTCACATCTTGATCGACTGTTACCCCCAAGGAGTCTCACGATGGTTTCGTGAACCCCTCACTAACCACCATCTTCAGTGACGATCCTGGGAACCTGAGACCCTGGTCTGGCCCCCACCTCCCTTAAATCTCCATGAGGAATGTCAAAAGAACAGGATGGGGTTGCCCCCAAAGCATCATTTTTTTTTTCATTCTCTTTGTTCATGTGGATCAGTTTTTAGGTCTTTATTGAATTTGTTACAATATTGCTTCCATTATATGTTTTGGATTTTGGGCCTTGTGGCCAAAAATCCTACCTCCCCGACCATGGATCAAACCTGCGTCCTCTTCATCAGAAGGCAAAGTCTTAACCACTGGATGGCCAGGGAAGTCCCAAACTCTGTCCTTTAATCCATGCCCTAGAGCCTGTGATCCACAAGAACAGAAGCCACTGCAATGAGAAGTCTGCACACTGCAACTAGAGAGAAGACCCCTGCTCGCCGAAGTTAGAGAAAAGCCCATGTGCTGAAACAAACAGCCAGCACAGTCAAATGATAATAATAATAATAATAATAATAATAATAATATAGAGCATGTGTAAAGACTATTTCCAAACAACTCCCCTCTGGGGTTCTGTTGGTTAAGACTTGAGGACATGCATTTGCTGAGGACAGAGTTCAGCCCGTCTCCTTCATTTTCCCACGGACGTCTCCCAATCCAGGAAAAGGATGACAGGAGATCGAAGATAAGAGATTGATCCTGGCGCCCCAGCTACGCCAGGCGCTCTGGCTGTAGCCTCGTGACCATATCAGCACGAACATTCTGGCTCTGAGGTCCGAGTTTTGCAAGACGCACCCGCCAAGGCAGCTGAGAAGAGGGCCACATGGGAAGCGGCTGATTATCTCCTTCGGTGGCCAAGCGGCTCGGCCGTGACCCCAGCACCGGCCGTTTAACTGAAACGCACCACAGCCCCAGGGACCCCAGCACGCCGCATGGGGCTGTTCCCCCCCGCCCCCAGCTTTTCCTACCGTGGTCCGTGGTCGTTGAGTGGCAGATGAGTGTCAGGAGCACGGCCAGCCAGAGGAGGGCCATGGGCGAGGCAGTTCCCACAGGAGGGCGGGCGTCAGCTGGAGGAGGAGACACAGTGACCAGTGGGGCGGCTGTGGGGGACGGCTGGGGGAGCAGACGGGGGGGGTGCCGAACCCTACTGTGTGTCCTGCAGGAAGGGCGGAGAGCCGCTTCGGGAGGGGAGCCTCCTGTGTGTGTGCATGCGTGCACACGTGTGTATATGCATGTGTGTGCACTGAGTGTGCATGCGTGTGTACCTGTGTGTGTCTGTGTATACCGCATGCCTGTGTGTGCGTGTGTGTGCACGTGTTTATGTATTCACCATGTGCACATATGTGCATGCATGTGTCTGTATGTATCTGTGTGCCTGTGTGTATATGCATGTGTGTGCACTGAGTGTGCATGTGTGTGTACCTATGTGTGTATCTGTGTATACTGCATGCCTATGTGTGCGTGTGTATGCACATGTTTATTTGTTCACCGAGTGCATATATGTGCACGTGTATGTCTGTTTGTATATGTCTGTGTACATGTGTGTATATGCACATGTGTGTACATGCGTCTTGTATATGCACCTGTGTACACTGTACGTCTGTGCATATGTATGAATGTGTGCACAGATTACTTGTGTTTATTGCCTGTGCATGCATATATGTGGATGTGTGTGTCTCTGGGAATATGTCTGTGTGTACTATGTGCACTGTGTGCACGTACACGTGTGCACGTGTGCGTGCGTTCATGTGGACTGCATGCCTGTGCACACATGTGTCTGTGTGTCTGTGCACTGAGTGTGCATATATGTGCACCTGTGTATGTGTGTGTGTGTCTGTATGTGTGTATATGCATGAGTGCACGTGTGTGTGTCTTATATATGCATCTGTGCACACCGTACGTATGTGCCTGTGTATGCCTGTGTGCACATACTACTTGTGTTTATGTATCTGTTGGGACACTGTGTATGCATATATGTGCACATGTGTATCTCTGTGAATATGTCTGTGGCACGTGTGCCCCTATATGTGTGTCTTGTGTATGCATCTGTGCAAACTACATGCCTATGTCTATGTACATGCATGCATGTGAGCACACATTGCCTGTGCTTACATGTGTGCATGGCATGTATGTATATGTGTGCATCGGTGTGCACACTGTGTGTGCATGCATACATGCAGGTCTGCATGTGTGCACACATGTGTCTCTGTGGGTCTTGCATGCATCTGTGGGTATCTGTGTGAACACCTGACTCATGTGTTTGTGTATCTGTGTATGGAAATGTGCATGTCACACTTGCCACCACCACCAGAGGAGCCCAGAAAGCACCTTCCAGGCGGCACCGGGAAATGCTAGGCTCACAAACAGTGGAAGGAAGTGCAATTAAACGCATGAAATCAACACGGACTCACTTTCCTGCTCAGACCGAGTTACGGTAATGGGCACCACCCCCACCAGAAGTCTTCCCCCTGGGGTCCGCATGAAGCACCCCCCTCAGCAGGCCGGCTCTCCTGAACCTTCCCTGGGGTGGGGGGTTCGCTTTCCTCACCTCCTGGGCACCAGCCGTGGGNCCCGTGACATTCGCGTCCACCCACAGGCTTCCCTCCTCACCCGGAGATGCCCACATCTTTAAAGACCCAAATAGCATGAACGTGGTCATCATCTGTGGCTGACCCCAAAGAACAAAGGGACAGGGCCTGTATGGACAGACCTGGGCCCCCGGAGGCTGGAGCCGGGGTCTGCACAGTTGGAAGGGGGAGACGGTGGGGCTCTCGACATTAGCAGCCCCGCCTTGCCTGGGTTGGAGGTGGCAGGAGTTTGAGCCAGAAAGAGTTGCTGGGCACTCTGGTTACCGGGAGCCTCTCGTCCTGGGAAGGCCACTCCGACCAGCTCATTCATTCAAGCATAAGACCCAGCACGAAATACAGAACCGGCAAAGACACACCACACACCAAGGCTCGCACCAGGGTGAAACCAGCGTCCTGTCCTGTTCTCGGTCGCGTCCGACTCTCTGCGACTCCACGGCCTGTAGCACCACCAGGCTCCCGTGGCCCTGGGGTCCTCCAGGCGAGGATACTGGAGTGGGTTGCCATGCCCTCTTCTGGGGGATATTCCCGACCCAGGGCTCGGATCTGCCTCACCTGCGTTGGTTAGTTAGACCCTCCATCATTGCTTCTTGGGCATAATGTCTTTGGATTCGGCCTGTGGTGGACTCCGGATGACACATCTCAGCGGCCATGAGATGTGTTCTGAATCCCGGTGTCTCCCAGGAGGCGGTGCTCATGACTGAGTCTCCAGGGGCAGCCGTCTGCCTTCCCCACCTCTTGGGTGAGGGGTGTGTGTGTGGGGGTCTTACCTGGGATGCAGAGCAGAGTCCGACGTCAGTGGGAGCCAGGCGGGCCCCGCTTGGCGCCCGTCCTGCTGGCCTGGGGGTGGATCCTGGGCTCGAGTTCCCGGCCGTGTGATGCAGTCCGCTTCCTGAACGAGAAACAAAACTTGTGTGTGTGTTTTTCTCTTCTCCCACATTTAACGTTTTTATAGCCTCCAGAGGGTGGGGGTAGGGGAGAGGAGGGCAGGGAGGGCAGAGGGGGCGGCTCCACCCCGTCAGAAAGAAAGAAAAGTAAAAATCATCAACCCCATGAGGATGTGACCGAGTCCGGCTGGCATCCCGCCCCTCCTCCGCAGCCCGCGAGTCACAGTTCTAATCTGGGGGTCAGGACCCTGGCCAAGGTTCCGGGTTTTTCCTGGAAGAAACACTCTCTCTTTCAAAGTATTTCTTTTCCTGTTCTCACTTCTGCTTTGCTGCTTCTGCTTTGTCAGGACCCCGGTGACTGCCCACCCCTCCACCTTGGACTGGGCAATTTCCTGGAGCCAGCCGGAATGAATGTCTGGGGGGGGGCCCTGGATGCCTGGACGCCCCCCCCATTTGTCGAGGTACCCGTGGGAGTGACCCCTCGTGCCTGCGGGGACAGGGAGGTGACCCCGGGTACGCCCATGTGCTGGCTGCCTGAGTCTCAGTCCGCCACATTCACGTTTCAGCCCGGAACGCCCACCAGGACGTCTCTGACTTCCCGGCGCCCGGAGCCTCCTCCTTGCCCTCACTCAAAATGGGTCAGCCGTCCATGTGTCTGTCACAGCTCCTGGGTTCCAGCCCCACTTGCCAGTCCGTCCTCCCGGGCGGCACCTCTCAGCGGCCACGAGATGCGTGCCAAATCCCGGTGTCCCCCAGGAGGCGGTGTTCAGGACTGCATCTCCAGGGGCAGCCATCTGCCTTCCCCACCTCTTGGGTGGGTGTGTGTGTGTCGGGGGTCGGGGGCATCTTACCTGGGATGCAGAGCAGACAGGGCTCCACCCCATCAGAGCGGGCCTGATGCCATGGGCCGGGAAGTCCCTTCTGCGTCCCTGTCTCCTGCCTACTTTCCGCCTGCCTAAGCCTTGCACGCCCACCTGGAACCTCAGAGCCTGACCTCTTGTGGAAGCGGGGCTCTCTCACAAGGGTAAGGATGAGGGGAACACACAGGCCAGCTGGGACAGGGCGGTCCCCACGTCCCACGGGGCCACCGCGCTTCTGAGCAGACGGCCCCTCGTACATGGGCAGGTGGAGGATACAGCCGCTTGCGGATGGAGGCAGAGACAGGAGGGGGGCGGCCACCCGCCCAGGGACGGACGCCTGGAGCCCCCAGGAGCTGGGAGAGGCGGGGAGGACCCTTCCCTGGAGGCTTCCTGGAGGGACCTCAGTCCTGGGACCCCTTGAACCACCCTGGGACCCCAGGACCTCAGACACGTGGTCCCCAGGACTGCGGGAGAGGATGGTTTCCTGTGGATTGCAGCCGTCCAGCATGGAGTCCTCTGTGACGGCCGCCCACCTGCCACAGAGCAGGAGTCTTGGTTCCCGAGTACCCCTCCAGGAGATGAAAGCCTGTGTCCCGCCCCCCTCCAGATGGTTCTTCATCCCGCTCAGGGGTGATGACTGTCTTGCTAAGTGCTGGGGAGATTCCAGAATGCCTGATGGACAACGACCGCCTCTCGTCTCCGGCCCCTCTTGGTCTAGGACGGAAGCAGGATGATGAAGAGCTGGGTGGAGGGGGGGTTTCCAGGGAGATGGAGGAGGCGGACAGATGACCCATGTGAGGGGTCGCAGTCAGTCCGGAGCGGATGGCGCTGAGCCCGGGCGAACCTCTTTCCAGGCAGCATGTCTGCCCTGCACCCCAACGCTGGGTTTGGGGGAATGGGGTGGGGTAGGAACCAGGCAATTTCTGCAGAAGCGGGGGCAGCGGGGGCCCGGCGGAGATTAGGAGGCCACGCTGACCTCTGAGCTGGCCCCACGGTTATGACACACGCTGGCTAGCCCTCCTGCCGTCCCGGGCTCTGATGAGAAGGTGTGGCCGCCACGGAGAAGGCTGCCAGCGCTGGGCGTGCAGACGCGGATGTTCCCGAATTCCAGCGTCAGCGCCGAGGGGCCCCATGGGGGCTGCCCGGCTTTGCCACTGTCACCCTCTTTTCCTTCCCCGACCCTTCGCCTTGCTCTCTTTTTTTCCTGCTTTTCTTCCTTGCTTCCTTTCTTTCTGTCTCTCCATCTTTCCTTTCTTATTTCCCTTTCTTTTTTCCATGCTCTTTTCTTTCTTCCTTTCTGTCTTTCCGTTTTCTTTTCTGTCTTATCATTATTTCTTTTTCCCCCTTTCTTTGTTCTTTCCCCCTTTCTTTTCTGTTTTCATTTGTTTTCTTTCTTTCCCTTTTTCTTTTTAAAAAAATAAGACGTGTTTTATTTGGACAATGTAACGGGGCAGAGTCCCACGGTCATCACTCTTGTGCAGTCGCTCAGTCGTGTCCGACCCTTTCTGTTCCCCGTGGGCTGTAGCCCACCAGGCTCCTCTGTCCATGGGATTCTCCAGGCGAGAATTCTGGAGTGGGTTGCCGTGTCCGCCTGCAGGGGATCTCCGCCACCCGGGGGTCGAACCCGGGTCTCCCGTGCGGCAGGCAGATTCTTTACCATCTGAGCCTCCAGGGAAGCCTGGACGTGCCGTGAGGAGGGCTGCCAGCGCCAAGCCTGCTTCAGGAACTCTGCATCACCGTGCGGCCGGAACCGGCCCTTGCGGGGCGGGGTCCGCGAGGAACAGAAACGGGGAACCGCGAGCAGGACTGGGGAGCCCAGGGCCCCGAGCAGCTGGGCCGGGAGAGAGGCCAGAACCACGGCTTCTCGAGCGTGGCGCCTTCCCCTCAGCCCCCGCCTCCAAAGGGCGCGGCCAGCAGGGCGGAGGGGCCACGGTGCAGGAAGCGGGTGGGGGGGACCCCTTCTCCGCTCTCGTCGGATGCTCGGAAACGAACCGTCAGAGGGGAGACACGTGCTGAGAAAGCAAGAGGTTTCATTGGAAAAGGGGTCCCCCCCATCCCCGGGCGGGGAGCACCGGGGTAAGGGAACCCAGGGTGACGACTCTGCGCCGTGGCTCCGCGGTCCCGGCTTTGATGCCGATGAGCTTGGTGGTTCGGTCGCTCGGGCATGTCCGACTCTCTGCGGCCCTGTGGACCGCGCGGCAGGCCGGGCCTGCCCGTCCATCACCGACCCCCGGAGCCTGCTCAGGCTCGCGTCCGGCGCGTCGGGGAGGGCAGCCGCCGAGAGCGCGCGTTTCCAGGTTCCCTCCAGCCAATCGCTCTGAATCGGGGTCCCTCCCGGTGGCGCACGCGTTGCGCAGCCATCAGTTCCGTTTCCCTTCTCGGGATCTCTTGCCATATAAAAATAACTTACGCACAGGGTCACCACATCAGGGCCGGCGGTTTCGCTCTGAGTGTTTCCTCTAATGGGAGGATCCTGGGAAGCCCGTGGCCCCATGGGTGACGGACATCAGCCCAGGGCCACACGGCCATCGGGGGCTGGACGACAGCTTCCTGTCTCTCTGGGTTCCCAGGCAGACGGGAGGTTCTGAGCGTCCATGCAGATGTTGGACGGGTCGGTCAGTTTCCAGGGTGGGAGGTGGGGAGGGGTCTCCCTCTGTGTTCCCAGAAACACAGCCCCTAAAACCCCCTCCCACTCATCCTCTGGTGGGGACCACGTGCCCAGAACGCAGACCAGAACACATACGGCTGGCCTTGTCATTGGGAGTCAGGCCAGCCTGCTCTCTGTCAACTACCAAAAAAAACAAAAGTAAAAATACAGTCACGACCTGGAAGTACAGTACTTTCTATTCCGGCATGTTTAGGACTCCGAGCCTCCGGAGACAGCATCTTAGTAACTCTGAGAAAACTGCTCCAAGGAGGCAGGAGGGGGAGTCAAGCCATACACAATTTTGGGGAGCAGGCAGTTTAGACATGAAAGATCAGATAACGAGTTAACAAACCGATGGGTCTATGACAGGAAGGTGCAAGCCTCTGGGCTCACCAAGGTCATTCCATTCACGTGCATCGCAGCTGTTTGAGGCCAACGCTATTCCCTTGTTCAACTTCAGGAGTGACAGATGTCTGATTCTTGCATTTCCCGGCCCACAGCCCCCGGGGCCATCACCACTGGGAGCTACGGATCTAAGTTTCTGGAGCTGGGCCTTCACGTCTGGAGCCCAGAACTCGCTGCTGGCCGAGACGTTTCTTACTGAGACGGCAGGAGATACTCTCATTTTGTATCTCCCCAACCGTCGCCAGTGGGATTCCCTCGAGACGAGGGGCTTCCCTGATTAATTTATCCGGCAAATAACACTTCCAGCAGCAGTGGCCAAGCCATCTTCCTCGTGTGTGTGTGTGTGTTGGGGGTGGTGGGTGGCGGGGGGCACTCCTTGCTCTTTGATCCTCCAGGTTTGCCCTCTGTGACCTCCGGGAACCTGCACACCTCTCCCCCCGCCAGCCCCCCCGGTGCTCCAAGCCCTGCTTCTGGGCATGAGGCACTTATGATTCCCCAGCTCCCTGTCGGCAGAGCGAGATCTTTGCTGCAAAATTTCCCTCCGCCCTATTTTGAAATTATTTTCATTTACAAATAGAAAATGTCTTGGAAGAAGGAAAAAGAAAATGAAAGAGAATCAGAAAACACCTAAACCAATGTTTGCTCCCTGAGCTTCTCAAATTCTCACTTGTTCACCACTCCCCAAGATGAACGATAACTTTTCTAAAAAGGTGCTCAGCCACCAACAATGATGGTATTCTTAGGGATATGGATCAGTTTCACAGGGGGGAAAAAAAAAAAAGGCAATGAATCCCATGACAGTGAATCCTATTGCTGCTGCATTGGAAGGACTGATGCTGAAGCTGAAGCTCCAGTCCTTTGGCCACCTGATGCAAAGAACTGACTCTTTGGAAAAGACCCTGATGCTGGGAAAAATGGAAGGCGGGAGGAGAAGGGGACGGCAGAGGATGAGATGGTTGGATGGCATCACCGACTCCATGGACATGGATTTGAGTAAACTCCGGGAGTTGGTGAAGGACAGGGAGGCCTGGCGTGCTGCGGTCCATGGGGTGGCAGAGTCAGACATAATGGAGAGAGCAATTTTTAAAAGCCTGTATTCAGTTTGTTACAATACTGCTCTGTTTTATGTTCTGCTTTATTGGTGTGGCAGCATGCGGGATCTTAGGCCCCCGACCAGAAATCAAACCCACGCCCCGGGGCACTGGAAGGAAAAGTCTTCACCACCGGCCACCAGGAGAATGCCTGGGTTCTGATGCTGAACTTACTCATAAAACTCATACCTGTCAGTCAGCGTGTCCTGGGGGTCCAAGCCCATTGTCAGCCGGACCTGAGGCCGGAAGGGAAGCTGATCTTTGCAAGTCCAGGCCACTCCCGGCCGGAGCTGGGGCGTCTGCAGTCACCCCCGCCCGGTGATCACGGGCGGTACCTTGCCCCGGAGACCCGCTGGGGTGACCGCACGGCTTATCTCGGGGATGCAGGCTCCGCGGCCACAGCGATAGCGGGCGCCTCCCCTGATTCCAAGACCTCATCTTTCTCGATTTTCTCGAAACACTGCAAGCATTTCACAAGACACTCTTCCTGAGCGAGGTGCGCCAACCCCAAACGCGGAAGCTTTGTGATGAAATCTTACCAGCGGCTGCCGTCTCTTGCGAAACACCTGTTTCTCCGTAGCTTGGCTTGAGCCCGGCTCACGGTGTTTCCGGGAAATCAGAGCAGGGTGTGGGGGGTGGGGGGGGCGCCCCGCTGTTGGAGCTGGGTGTCTCTGCTTCTAGCATCGCNGTTTCTCCGTAGCTTGGCTTGAGCCCGGCTCACGGTGTTTCCGGGAAATCAGAGCAGGGTGTGGGGGGTGGGGGGGGCGCCCCGCTGTTGGAGCTGGGTGTCTCTGCTTCTAGCATCGCTGGCCGGCAGCCCAAGCGTGAGAGAGCTGTGCCCGGGAGACGGGTCCCTCCTGGACGAGGTTGGAACCGAGAGAGATGCTTCCCCGTGTGGTTGTCCACAGGCGCCACGGAAGAGGATCGTGGTCAACCTGACGTCTTCTGTCCTCATCCTGTGTCTGCTCCCGTCGCTCGAAAAACGGACTGAGGCCAGCCGATTCATCGGGAGAACCGTGCTCACTTTCTCTTGAGGCCTCCGTTGCTTTCCAGGTTATCTGGTTGGCTGGCACCCTTCAGTTCAGCTCAGTTCAGAAGTGTCTAACGGGAAACCCGTCCCCAAAAGGGAGACCACGCTGACGCTGTCCTGTACTTATCCACACGGGACGGCTCCAGCGTGCATGTTGTTCATTTTTTTGTTGCTTACTTGCT